GAGCGTCATCTTCATCCAACAATGCTTGCAATTCGCTGTCTTCAAACTTTTTCGGTGGTTTTCCACGTTCTTCGTTTCTCACGTTAAAATCGCCACTTGTGAATTTTTTAAACCACTCAAAGCACTGTGATTTACCAAGAGCATGCTCACCATAAGCTTCGACGAGCATTCGATGCGATTCTGCAGCAGTTTTCTTCAAATGGTAACAGAAAATCAATGCTGTCCGCAAATCGTAGTTTCCAGGCACAAAATTCGACATGTTCAACGCTATTACAAACTATATTGTTGTATGAAACTTGTATTGTTGTGAGTTGAAAATCTTTGTCAGATGTCAGAACAAGGAAATGACGTCAATGACGCGGTCTGATGGCAACTGCATTGATAGCTATGGCCATCTATTGGTAAATTCCGGTTTCATATTTACATACCTGGTAAACGTAATATAATTTATATACTAAATACGCTAACATCGTTATAAAGGCGATTTAAATACGAGTCGTTAGTTAAATTGATATGCTGAATTAGATTAGGTTATAAGCAGATTTTTAGTTTTAAAAGTCACATAAAATGTTGTTTGAGAAAGATAAATTAAACATTTAATGTTGTTTTTAATTAAAGTACAGTTTTTAGAAATCATTTCACACGATTATTAAAAGTTAATAAATGTAATTAACAGTGAAAATGTAAAACGACTACGGAAAAACAAGATGATTTCTGCGATATTATAATGTAGTAATATATTACATAAAAAAACATGTAAAATCAAAATATTTTATTTATTGTTATATTTTCATTTATAACAAAATTTCAAAAACATTCCATTTTAATTATATGTAATTTCAGGAATATATTATAGCGATGCTCGATAAAAATGATTGTGTGTATACATATAGGGTGTCCAGCGAGACTTTTCTAATCCCCCACAGTAAGGTAGATGGGATCGAAATAAACATAAAAGTCCTTTACCGTTTAGCGATAATAATAATCGAGATATTAAAGTTTGCAATTGTACTAATCAGAGTGCGTCTATAGAAAGAATAGAAACGGCTCCGGCCGCTCGAGGTATAGCCCGGCCCAGTTTGTCAAATGTTGTCAAACGATGGATGCGCCGGCAGGAGAAGCAAGAGGGTAGAGTCCTATATATAGAGAGAAGCGACATTGATGTCCGAGTTTCTGATTGGTAGTCTGATATATATTCTGATTGGTTATCCCCTCCTAAGTGAAGCAGCCATATTGTGACCGCAGGTGATTACATGTAGCTGCACATGTGGCCACCGACTTCGGTTGTGTCTCGCTTGTCAGAATGCAAAAGGAATGTGCATTCAACTAAGTTATGACACAGAGAATCACCACATCCTTGTTATTCACATTGAAGTACAGAATTGGAGGTTGGAGTATGTTTATATTTACGACACTTTAGCGGTCGGAACATGGCGGCGTAGGAAGTGATGGTTGGGATCCGATCTGGTGGTGGGGGTTCGATGTCGTTTCTGTCTATATATAGGACTCTACTAAGAGGAGAAGCGCGCCGTTGCTTAGCGCTCGACATCGCCGTTCACACGTCTCACCGCATGGCACCAAGGGACTCGCGCGATGGCCGCTACGCACATTCGCGATTACATTACATATGTAATAATAACACTGCAAAAATAGGACAAATACAAACCATAATAAACTTCAATGAATAAAAATGTCGAAAGAGAGAAAGAGATGAAACCTATGGAAATCTACGGAAAATCTAATTAATTTCTATCGTAATCTGTCGCTTCTCTAAATCGAAAGGAATAAATTTTAAGAAAAAAGTATCCGAAAGAAATAATATCATTCTCCACTATTCTCTATCGTTTCCTTATCGTTTCCTGTTGATTTTATAATAGATTACGATGTGCCGCCTAAGATAATTATATTGCAAGTTTTGTTGGAATCTCTCTTTCTATGTTTACTTAAAAAATCACTGAAAATCTGCCATAGTTAATAGTGTATTTACGGTAGTAGAAATTCTAAGCTCACTATCGCATAATTATCAAAAAAGCTCTTTGTTAACCGTATCAACGATATTTGACATAGCATTGTGCTCTCAAGGTATAATTAATTATCTTAGGCGGCACATCGTAATCTATTATAAAATCAACAGGAAACGATAAGGAAACGATAGAGAATAGTGGAGAATGATATTATTTCTTTCGGATACTTTTTTCTTAAAATTTATTCCTTTCGATTTAGAGAAGCGACAGATTACGATAGAAATTAATTAGATTTTCCGTAGATTTCCATAGGTTTCATCTCTTTCTCTCTTTCGACATTTTTATTCGTCGAAGTTTATTATGGTTTGTATTTGTCCTATTTTTGCAGTGTTATTATTACATATGTAATGTAATCGCGAATGTGCGTAGCGGCCATCGCGCGAGTCCTTTGGTGCCATGCGGTGAGACGTGTGAGCGGCGATGCCGAGCGCTAAGCAACGGCGCGCTTCCCCTCTTGCTTCTCCTGCCGGAGCATCCATCGTTTGACAACATTTGACAAACTGGGCCGTATATTATATACAGGGTGTCCCGACATTTTTTGCCAATTACTTTTGTGTAGATAGAGCGGACTAAACTGAGTCGAAAAGTCCTCTACCATTTTGCAATTTTCGCAATAGTTAACAAGATATTAATTACTAAAAATTGCCAAATATTGGTGTTGAATAATTTTTTACTCAAATACTTTCAACTTTACAGAAAAACTGCAACATATAAAAATTATTTATTTTCTTCTCATAAAGTTTTGAAAATTTTTTCAGAATTTTTTATCAACTTTTTAGTACTGCATTTTCTTATTTTTACCAACATGAGA